ATATATATATATATTTTTTTTTAAATGGCCGTTTATAATGGCTGCTGAGGCACCGAAAATTTATGAAGCCCTTAGATGTCCAGGCCTCTAGAAATTTTTAGGTAATAACTGTAATTTACACCATTATGTTCTTACAGCCTTGGCCCCTATTTAACCTTAAAGTTACAGTTCCCAGTTAATACAACTTACAGAAATCAAATTAATGAATGACAGGCCATATTAAATTAAAAAAAGTGAATGGTTCTGGCCCCAATCTATATGGAATTCTGAATTCACGCAATCCTGGCCTATCATATCCACCTCAACAAACAACAATATATGGTATATGGGAAGAGGACTTTTTATCGGGAAGGGTTAGAAAATTCTTCTGTCATACTGATTTCCATTGTAATGACACCAGATTTACAGTAAATACTTTGAGAATATGGTACTAAAATCATAGACAAATTAACTTTGTCTGAGGTTAATAAAACCCATGATAATATTGATACTGAAAATCCATTGTATTGGGAAATTGAACTTAATCCTCCCCATGGAGTCATTTCTATGGAAACTAACTGGCCAAAAGAAAAATTTGAACTTCTAGATCATGAAATAATAGTCTTCATTCATCTTGCCACACTTATCATAATGTACAAATAACAGTAAAACGAGGGAAGAAAACATATTAACTTAATAATAAAAAATTATGATAATACATGTAAAGCGTTCTTTTGGTGGCTAGGATGTTTGCTCTCCTCAAACTCATGCTTGTCTAATACTGGACATTTTCTGCTCCTAATCGGTGTTACTGGTTTAATACTATTGCTCTTGGTCCTAATTTGTAAATGTCATACTAGGTACAAAAAAATAATAAAACATAAGGCTGACAGAAAAACAAACAAACAAACAAACAAACAAACTTGGATCATGATAGCTCAAAGATTAGAAATGATCCAGAATATATTTAATAAAGACACATAGGATCTGACTGTCTCCCATTTGCTCACAATTTTAAATATAAATAAACAATTTGGCCTCAACTGCCATGCCTTCCAAGGCTATAGTCTTGCCCCAACCCCAATGGTCCAACATTCAGCGAGACAAATGCTGACACAATGACTTCCTAAGAATGAGCCGTCCTAGCACTGTGGGACCACGCTATCCAACCAAAAGGTTGGTCATCAATGCATTCTTTGGATTGATTTATGACCAAAACGGGGAAATGTGGACAGAAAAGGGGTCACGTGTTATACTTGACAAGCTCAGGAGACTGAAAATAAGCACAGAGGATGGTGTGAACATAAAAATCCCTAACTAAGGTGGGCCATGGCGGGGAGTCACATCTCTTGAGCTTCCTCATTAAGTTAATATGTGCCTTTTCAATGGGCCTGTTCTTTGTCCTTCTGTACCTACGAGAACATCTTTAATCCTTTTTTTCAGACCAGAGCTAGAAACTGCAAAATTCCTCATTATCATGCTTGTCTCCTGATTACCATCTCTATGTGCTGTAAAGAGCAAACTGTTAGTTATCCTGCACCCACCCACCCGCTTAATCTATCACCAATGGATTTCATGTAACCTTCCTCCTTTGATTTTATGTATAAAATAAACTGCACACTGCCATTTTGCGGAGCATTTTCTCAATCCATTGAGATTTTGCTTCCCGGCAACTGTCGACAGTTTGGCTCAAATAAACTCTTACAAGTTTTCTCTTAGGCTGGATGTTTTTCGTCAACAGCTCTAAGCCCCCTCTCCAGCCCAGCCTGCTCTCCTGCTTATTGTCGCACGGTGTCTCTGGCATGGCCTGCCGGGTGCCTCAGTGAGGCCTCAGCTTCATGATGCTCCCACCAGGACCGCCTTCTTCCCCACCCCCTGCCCTGCCAGCCAAAGTCACTGTGAACAGGGTCACCATGCTCAGAAATCGTAAGTTGGGATCTGAAATAGCTGTAGGATCTCATGGTTGGGTCTACATTCTTTCACTTGGTCATTTAACAAACACTTATTGAGAGTCTACCATGTGCCAGGCACGGCCTGGGTGCTGGCAACACGAGAACAGGCCAGTGTCTGCTCTGATGGAGCTGGCGACACACAGACAAGTCGGCAATATAGCAGGGCAAGGGGACAGTGACTGCGGAGGTGACGTTGGCGCAGAGACTTGGATGAAGTGAGGAGTGAATCGTGTGGGTATCTGGAGAATAGGAGTCCAGGCAGAGGGAACAGCATGTGCAAAGGCCCTGAGGCATGTGTGCTTTGGCAGATTCCAAGGACAGCAAACAGGCCAGGAGGGCTAGAACTGAGTGAGTGAGAGGGGAGTAGTAAGAGACAGACTCAGACAAACAGCAAGGAGCTGGATGGTGTAGGGCCTCACCGGTCACCAGAAGGGCTCTGGGCTTAGGTCTAGTGCAATGGGAAGTCATGGGCTGTCCTTGAGCAAAGGAATGACGTTATGTCATTGACATTTTTGTAATCTCTCTCTTGTTTCTGTGTGGAGTATAAACTGTAGGAGGACATGCGCAAAAGCGAGGTGACTGGTGAACGTGTGTGGCTCTGCCCTCAGGTCCCTGGCTCTCACCCGGACTGCGCACTGCACTCAGAAAATGTCTGCTGCTCTCATTCGGAAGGTAATGCCAGTGGACCCGCTGCATGACCAGTTTAGAACTGGGTACCTGCACCAGACTTCAGCCTCTTGGTTGTGTGTTGTCCATGATGGTCCCTAGTGGCGCCACTTTAGTTGTCACAAGCTGAGCTCCTCCTGGGGCAGGCCCTTGCGTGTGCTGGTTTAAATGTCTGATCTCGCGTCCCACAGCCGTTCTCACGTCTGGCTCCTTCCTTACTCCGGGTCTTAGCCTTAACGTGAACCCTCAGTGACATGTCCTCTGTCACCCTATGTAAGTAGACCCCCCTGTCATTCTCTGTCACTGCGCTCTGTCCATTTTCATGGCACTTAGTCCTTGTCACATCCATCATGCGCTTGCTTTCCAATCTGGCCTGCCTCCCCCCGCTAGGTGGAAGGACCACGGCTGCCATCTCGTAGCCACGAGGAGAAGAAAAGAGATCCCAGGGTGCTGCCCAGAAGTCCTGACCATCAGGTCGGACACCATCGACCTCCAGACTTGTTGTCAAGTAAGGAGGTCATAAGCCCCAGTGTTTAGGCCACTTTTGCTGGGTGTTTTGTTAGTTGCAGCCAAAAGCACCTCAACGGACACACCCCATTTTACAGAAGGGAAAACTGAGTCTCAGACTAGTGACGTCACTGGAAGACCCATCTCTGCCTTCCCCTTGCTGTTCTCACCACCACCAGGCCTTCTCTCCCCTTGGCAACACAGGGTTGTCCTTTAAGGCCTTCCCAAGCCTTCTCTTCCAGGAAACCTCTGATGCCACCAACCATTGGGTCTCTCTCCTCCCCAGGGGGTGTTGGTGAGGGTTCAGTAGAACCAGCCATACAGGGGACTGAGGGTGGGGTGGGGGTGGGGAGTGCAGGGAGCCCTGGGAGTGACAGTTGCTTTCAATGCCTAGAGAAAGAGAGGACTTCAACATTTGCATTGTAAAAAGCCATGACTGTTTTTCATGTGGCAATTTGTTTCTAAGTATTCTATTTCCTGCTGAGCGTGTGCCAAAGAAGCAGCTCATTCTTCTAGCATCTTCAGAGGTAGCCCCATGCCCTGGGACACTCTGGGTCTGCAGGGCATCGGTGCTTACTTAGAGATCACAGCCTGAGGGCGCTGCGGCTGCTCTGGGCCCAGCTGCGCTAACTGGCTGTGGCCCTGGGCACATCCCCCCTCTCTGAGCCTCCCATGCTTCCCCGGGAAACGGAGGCTGTTGGACTCAGCAGATCTTCCTGTCCCAGTCTTTGGGGACATCATTCTGGGGGTCCTGAGGAATCAAGGAACTTCCTGTGGACTTCTGAGTCCATTTCTCTAGTCAGCTGCACTCTCCCCAGGAACTGAGAGACTTGGAGGGCCCAGGATGACGTGGAACCTCCTGAAATGGGCTATCCTGGGGAACCGCCATCTGTGCCCCATTTTCCTCTCTTGTTTTCCATCAGATCCTCTCAAGGACCCTGGGATATAAGGCAAGAATAGTCTTCAACAGATTGTGCTGGGACAACTAGGTATCCATATGGAAAAGAATAAAGTTGGACCCCTACCTCACACCATATACAAAATTAACCCAAAATGGATCAAAGAGCTAAATATAAGAGCTGAAACTGTAGAACTCTTAGAAGAAAACATAGGGATAAATATTTGTGAGATTAGATATGACACCAAAGGCACAGGCAACAACAACAAAAATAGATAAAGGGCACTTCATGAAAATTATAAACTTTTGTGCTTCAAAGAGCATTATCAAGAAAGTAAAATGACAACCCACAGACTTGAAGAAAATATCTGCAAGTCTTGTATCTGAGAAGGGACTTGTATCTAGAATATACAAAGAACTCTTACAACTCAACAATAAAAATACAAAGAACCCTATTGAAAATGGGCAAAGGACTTAAATAGACATTTCTCCAAAGAAGACGTACAAGTGGTTACTAAGCACGTGAAAGGATGCTCAGCATCGTCAGTCCAGGGAACACAAATCAAAACCACCTCACACCCACTAGGACGGCTGGAATGAAAACGATGAACAATGCACGTTGGCTCGTGAGGATGTGAAAGCTTGGAACTCTCACACACCGCTGGTGAGAGCGTAAAATGGTGCAGCTGCTTCGGGAAGCAGTCTGGCAGTGTCTCAAAAATGTAAATATAGAGTCACCACATGACCCAGCAATTCCACCCCTACGAGGATGCTCAGGAGGGCTGACAACATATGTCCACACAAAACCGTGAACATGAACGTTCACAGCGATATTATTCATGATAGCCAAGAAGTGGAAACAACCCAAGTGTCTACCAACTGGTGAACAGATAAGCAAGACGTGGTCTAGCCATCCAACGGGATAGTATTTGGCAATAAAAAGGAGTGAAGTGCTGACTCACGCTGCCACATGGAAGAACTGAAAACAAGATGCTCCGCGCCAGCAGCCAGACACACACTGTACCGCCTCATTTGTATGGACGTCCAGAATAGACAAGTGCCAGTGATGAGTGGTTACCAGGGGAGCGGGGAACGGAGGGAATGGGAGTGACTGCGAATGGGCGAGGGGTTTCTTCTGGGGATGATGGAAAGTTTCTGGAATTAGCGGTGATGGTTGCACCATCTTGTGAATATACTAAAAATCAACCTTGTGACTATGCTAAAAGTCATCTTGGGAATATATATATTTAAAAAAAAAAATTTGCCGGAGCACTCTCTCTCTCCCCCCACATCCGCTGCCCCCACTCCATCACCCCTGAATTGAAGCCATGGCCATGAACTAGCCTCACTGCTCCCTCTGTGCCCCACACAGCACCCAGGGTGCCCCTTTCAAAATGCAAATCCCACAGTGCCCGCCTCCTAGATAAAGCATTCCAGGGGCTTCCCACCGCACTTGGCATCAAATTCAGTTCTCCTGTGGCCTATGGGGCACTGAGCGCTTTGTCCCCCGCCTGCCTGTGACCTCACCTCGTCCCACTTCCCCATCGCTGTGGTCCTGGCCCTTCTCAGTTCCTCCAGCTCCAGGGTTTGTTCCCCCTTTGGGGCCTTTCATGTGCTGCTGTCTCTGCCAAGGGAACAGTTCCCACAGAGCTCGCGTGGCCGGCTCCCATGGCGCCTCCTCAGACAGGGCCCCTGCCCCCGCAGCCTGTCTGACCGGACATCCTCGCCCTGCCCACCTCCTCCATGGCGCTGTCGCTGCCTGCATTTACCTTGCACACCACGTGCGTGCTCGTTACGGACCTCTCCCCACCTCGAGAACGTTAGCTCCCTCAGAACAGGAATCTAGCACGGCGCCTGGCACGTAGTAGGATCTCAACAGTGTGTCAAATGAATCAACACATCGTCGTGCACCTTTCCGGGGGCCGTTGTGGTCCTGAGCCTCAGCTTGCTAGTCCGTAGAATGGGACCTCACAGGACCAGGTGTGGGAACTTGGTGAGATGACGCATGTAAAGCCCCGGGTAAGACGACCAAGTAGGAGGGACTTCTTTTGTGGTTGGAGGGGAATATTTGATGCTACAGTAGATGGGCTCCCATAGGAAATTTTAGGTGTAGGTCCCCAGAATCAAAGGCTCGGCCACTTGTGGACTTGGTGTTGCATCATCACAAGTCACAACCCAAGGAGCGAGTGTCCCAGGCAGAAAACATACCTGACTCCTGTCCGTGTCCCGGCAGGACCACTGCGAGCCAGGCCCAGTCCCAGCCCTCAGGGCCCATTTCCCTGGTGGCCACTGAAAAACGGGTCCTCCCGGGAAGCCGTGAAGACCAGCACAGCGCTCCCTGGAAGCGCGTCACACACCTTGCTGTGGGCTTTCTTGCCTGGATCAGGCAGGGGGAGGCGGGATTCCCACTTCTGGGAAAAGAAAAGGACCATTTGGAAAGCGTCCACTTTCGCAGCCCGGCCGTGGGAAACCAGTGACCACGCCGTCTGCAGCTGAGCCCGGGCAGCTCTAAGGCCAGGCCACATCTGGCCAGTGTCTGAAAACAGCACTGCTGCTCAGAAGGCCGGCCTGGGCTGGCATCCAGGCCTGCTGTTCTAAGAGCCGCAGGGAGCGGGGTCACTGGGGAGCATCTGCCATCTGCAGCCTGGTGGCCGCCGGCCCCATAAAAACACAGGCAGGTGCGTCTCACTGATTGGGTGACCCCGGGCAAGTCGCCTGAACCCACCTCTTCTCTTTCCTCTGCTGGAGGACGGAGCTCAGCCGAGTGCCCTGCCACTGGTCTGCCCGGGAAGGACCCATGACTGTGGGAGGGCTCGGGGTGGTGTCCTGGGGCTCGGGGCGGTGTCCTGGGGCTTGGGGGGGGGGTGTCCTGCAGTGTGGCAGCCACGCCTCAATCTGACTCCATTCCTCAGCTGTGCCGCCTCGGGCAGCTCGCTAACCTCTCTGAACCTCTCTCCTCATCTAAAGCTCCACTCCACAGCGCTGTCAAAAGGCACGGGAGGTATATCATGACGCCCACAGAAAAACAGTCAGAAATTATAGGAAAATCGTCAACATCAGGATAGGAAAAACTGTTTTGGATAAGACAGAAAAAGTACAAACCACAAGCGAAAGGAATCAATTTGCTTAAAATTTTAAACTTCTGAGTAAAAATGACCAACCACAAAGTGAAAGGATTAGTCAAAGACAGGTAGTAGGTGTTTACAATACATGTAATGAACAAAAAAGATCGATAAACAGAATATTGTAAAGAATTCCTATAAACCAAGGAGGAAAAAACAAATAACTGAATGAAAATAGGCAAAGCGAACAAAAAAAAAATCACAGAAGAGGAAACACAGAGAGCCAAGACACAAATGAAAAAGCGCTCGGCTTCATGTTTGCAGGGAGATGTAAATTAAAGCAAGATACTCCTTTGCTCCCATCGGATTGTCAAAGTTTCAAAGTCTGGCCGTACAAGCGCTCAGAAAATGTGAAGCAACAGGTGCACTTATGCACAGGTGAGGTGTACAGACTGGTGCGACCACTGGTGCTTTGGCACCATCTGGAAAATGTGAAGATATGTATGTCACATGGACCAACAATTCCACCCTTACGTGCCTACCCTGGAAAATCCTGGGTGCCTACATACCAGGAGAAAGGTGTTGCTAGGTATATGTTAATAGAATAATTGCAATAACCCCGAACTGGAAAACAACCTAACTGTCCATCAACCGTACGTAGATGGGAGGGGTCAGCAAACTTTTCCTGCAAAAGGCCAGGTGGTAAATATTTGGGCTTTGCGCTCTGTGCCACACACTCTGTGCCACAGCTACGCAACTCTGCCTGAGCACAAAAGCAGCCAGAGACAATATGTAAGTGAACGGACATGACTGTGTTCTAATAAAACTTCATTTACAAAGAACAGGCATGGGGTTGGAGTTGGCCTGTCGTTTGCAGGCCCCTGGTAGAATGATTATACAAATTGTGGTACATTCATACAATGGAATAATAGTCAGCAACAAAAACATTACACAATAACATGGATGAATCTTAAAAACATATTTTTGTGCTAAAGAAGTCAGATACAAGAGGATACATACTTCTGACTCTCTTACAGAAAACTCAAAGGCGGTCAAAATGGAAGTGGAGTGTTGAGGGACGCACACCTAGGGAACCGTGAAAAACATCAATGATGTGATCACGAGAGTCAGGACAATGGTTACCTTAGGCAGGGATGGAGAGGGGGTTGAGGGTTCTGGGGGGGCGGGCGGGCGCACCGACCATTTTCTATTTTTTGACCTGGGTGGTGGCTACACGGATATGCATTTTAGAACAATTCATTAAGCTGGACATTCGTATTGCATGTACTTTTCTCAATGTGTATTAGTTTTCACCCAAAAAAAGGTTTTAAAAAGATGAGCCCTTCCAATGTTTGTTCTCACAGCCCAGTGGGCTTCCCTGGAGAGTGAGAGGTGTTTCCGGAGCAACTTTCTCTGGTGAGTGTACCTGCCGAGGGCCAGTGGAGCGCTTCCCGGGTGAGAAGCAGGAGAGGGAAACAGTCACTGAAGCCCTGAGGAAACTCCCCGGAGGCTTCATACTGCGCCGGGCGGGAGAAGAGGCGGCTTGGGCTCAGGCGGCCCCATCCTATTTGAGGGGCAAGCCCTAGGGTTAAAGCCAAAATTTAGTGTCCGAGCCAGAATGGGAAAGTGAAGTGGCACCTCCATGGTCAGCCGCTTTGGGTTCTTTTAACACTGAGCTGGGGGTGACAGGGTTTTGAGGGGCTGTTTCCCTGGTTACATAGACCTACTCTTCCTAGTCCTAGGGGCAACTCGTGGCAAACGTTAATTGTGTACCCACATGTGTGTGTGTGTGCAGGTGCATCTGTGTACACGCCAAGCACTCCAAACAGGCCTTTCCGATACCCACAAGATCGCCCAGCGTTAAAATTATTTTGAAAAACGTATTGGCAACCAAGGACCAAAAACATGTCCCAACTCTTATCCCAATATTTCTACATCCAAGGTTATTTCCTCAAATGTAATCCTGAAATTAAGTTTACTCAGAAAATGTTTCATCCCTATGTAATCAACGCTGGTGAAAACTGGGAAACGACGAAGCGTTCAAAAATAGAAAATAATTAAATAAACCAATTCCAGACACATAATGAATTATATTATGATCATTAAGATTC